CAAGTGTGCCAGGCCTGCATAGGATCTGTTGGGAGTTTCTGTTTTTATGAAAAGATGTTAATATATTTTAAGTTGTTTTAATTTTTGTGCTTAGTCACCTTAATCACTAGTGGAAGCGGGGTGGGAAGCTGAAAACAGTCACAGGCTTGAAAACATGCTTTAAAAAAGCCATTGTTAGACGCATTTTGCAAGAGAACACAAAGCATTGTGCTACAGTGGAGGATCAGTAGCTGCTGATTGTGACAAATTTGTTTAAAGGTTGCATATCAGTCCCCTCATGCATGAAGAGGCAGTCTACAATAACCAAAGCAATCTAAAATGCAGTGGGTTCAGTCCAACTAGCTAGAGTAAACTACTATTCATTCAACAGAACTTCCCTTTTATATTTCAGTCCTAGAATTTTTTGAGCAGTCCCATAGATTTGAAGGGGGGGAGGCTGCAATATGAGGGATATTTCCCCCCCACACCTTATTACCTTATTAATAAGGTAATTAGATGGGTACAAGCTAATAAGCCTATAAATAAATCAGGAGTATCCAACCTTGACAACATTAAGATCTGTGGACTTCAACTCCCAGAATTCCCTAGCCAGAATGGCTGGCTGGGGAATTCTGGGAGTTGAAATCCAGGGTCATAAAGTTGCCAATGTTGGATACCCCTGATCTAAATGCTAGCTTTCTCAAGAACTTTGTGACAGGAAGCATTCCCTATTGTTAAATATGGTACTCCCACCAGTGACAATACAGATGTTTTTTCAATGATTGCAGAAAGATGAACAGTTCTCTCTTACTGTAAATATCAAAGTATCGTTATTTGAAGACCTGAAGGCAGCTACAGTTTACCAGCATCCCATGCACTGCTCCTATTTCTCATGGGCTCCAAGGGAAATTCTGTGTGAAGAGAATTACATGGAGGTAAGACCTGGGTCATATGCCCATTAAGAGTATAGGCAATTTGTTGAAAACAAAATGTCACTGTGACAATGATTCCCTGGCTCTGGTTTTGCTAGCGATAGTCTTATATCGAATGGTTGGGCAGATAGGTATTATTGTCTTTCTACTTAAATATGAATAGGAAAAGATTCCTCATTTTAATTTCTCTAAAACCACAAGAATTAGAACAAGTTTGGATTTTGTAATAACTGTTGGATTCTATATTGAAAATGCCTCATTCCATTTCAAGGTGTCAGTGAAGACTGATGTCCCGGGAATTTCAGATGCTGAATTGATGTCGGCACTACCAGAGGTACAGTAGGAAAATTATTTAATTAAATACCTTCCTCAATCGGTAGATAATTTATAAACAAAAAAACAAACTGATTCCTTTAATTTCATTTAAAAGGCTTCTAAATTGTATTCCCCGCCCTCATTTTTTGACTAGATTAGGAGTACTGCAGTTTCCTGTCAAGGTTGCATAGAAACCCTATGCTGTCCATGCTTATGGGACTCAGAATAACATACAAATATTAATAGTAATAATTATAACATATGTCGTAAAATATAGTTGGGAATTACAGTAGTTTTGTACAAAAAATGAAAGGTCTTATTTATTTAGCAGGTTATTTAAAGTTAAAATATTAAGATTTTCTAATAAGAGAAATCCAATTTTTGTATATGACACAAGCTCCTATGTAGAATTATTCAACAGTGGCTTCCAATTTGACTTAAATTCTATTGTCAGATTTATTTTTGAACTACAAATTTATTGTGGGCATCACAATATAATCCCACAATTTAATTACCCATTTTTCTGCAGAATCAACTTTACATACTTTCCAAACAAAGCTTTGCATTTACCATGTTCAAAGCTTCTTCAGTATAGCTTGTGGAAGTATAAAACTTAGTAATTTTTTAAAAAGATGGGAATAGAAAGCTTTTAGAATTTGTTTCATTGTATATCATTTCCCAAAATTGTTGAGTTTTACACCATTGCTACCAAATATGGAAAATGATCAAACTTGCTCATTATTTTTGCAATGATTTCTAGAAAATGAACTCTCCATTTTAGCAATCAATATTTGGAGTAAAGTACCCGTAGAAAAACATTTTTATACCAATTTTCTCTAAATATTTAATGTGAATTTAATATTACTTATTCCATTGAAATTCTCAATGTGACATATTAATTATATCTAAATTCTGTCTCAGTTGAAACCTATAGTCTTTAATTTTACCAGTTTCTGAATCATATTTTAACAGGTGTTTATAAATAAAGCCTACCAAATGCTCCAAATATTGTGTTACAATGTTTTGAAATCTAATTAAGTCTTCCAGTATTCTCCTTGCCTTTATAATTCTTTTAAAATTATACTGTCTATCTGAAGATACTAAAGCCATCAGATAGTTCTTGCTTTCCAAAGAGGAAGTGTCAAGCACCCAGGAAATCAAGAGATTCAGGCAGTTCAAATTGAGTATAAAAATGTATTGCAAGCTTAATCTCTCTACAAGAATCTGGCCAACTGACCATTAAGGGAAATGCAGGAAAGATAAGAGAGACATTCAAGACGGGCTGGACTTAGATCTCTTGTGGGCGTGCAGGGACTCGTGACTTATGACATGTTTGACCCCTCCATTGGGCTAAGCCTGATCATCTCCTACAGGAAGTCTTAGAAGATTTTGTCTTTTAGATACTGTAAATTGATTGGAGAACAAAGACAGAGAAACATCTAATTAGCTTAGACTTTTGGGGATTTCAGTACCAATGCATTGAGTCACAAATTGGATCTAATACAAGATATTAGGGCTAAAAAGAAGAACTTGCTAAATCCCTTTAATTTCTGAAATGGCATGTGAAAATGACCTTGAGAGACAGGAGGAAGAGCCGCAGATTAGACGATGATCAGATAAGAGGTGGTTTAGCTTGCAGAAGCAATGGGGGCGTGGCAGACATCTCAGAAGGGACCCTTCCTAGCTTCTTGAACGGTAAAGGCAAGTGGGAAGAGATGTACTTTCAGGCTTGCAAGATTCTATTAATCTAACCTTACAATAAAGCTGTACAATAGAGCTAGTATTTCTGAGTGGGCATCTTGATATCTACACCATCTCACAAAACTGACAACTTTTAAGCCTTATTGAAAATGCAGAATTTTGCATGCTTGTCGAATAATCTTTTTGCCATTCTGCAGTTTGAAAATTCTTATTGTCTTTGATTTTTTTCTCTCTCTCTCTCTCTACTAGGCACAAAAAGTTATGTATCAAATGTGGAACTTGATGTTCTACTCTTCATCAGGGATCAAAACAACAGGAGTAAGAGATGCTGACAAATTAGGCTACAGCTTCAATAATACACTGGCAAGAGTGTTCCTTCGCTCCCCATACTTTACAAATGAAACTCAGAATACAGTGGTAATGTGTTCCTGCTTCCACCCAAAAGAGAGATGTTATAAGCTATCTCATTCTCCAACTGGTCAAGTAAAACTTTCACCATGATTTTTTTCACAGGTTAATGGGGTCACAATGAGCACAATCAGCTCCACGTCCAGGTACAGACAAAGATGGTTACTTCTGCTGATTGACACAACTGTATCATGCCCAGTTGGCAAGTATTTTTCTCCTCCTACCATGAAAATTCATGGCTTATTTGGGGAAGGAAGGGTATTGAAAGTTCATACAACCAAGACCTACTAGCAAGCAATGCTTTCTGCCAATTATACTTGCAAGTGCGCCAAAAAGCACTTGTACATTGAAATAATAAATCTTAAAATGAGATCCTGGCAGCTTGTGTACAAGGAGCCTGGCACGGTGGTTCACAAATGTTATAATATTGCCTGCTAGCAGTAATATGCAAAGTCATGATTTATTGTTTAGCAATGATTTGAAACTGACAAGTGCTATAAATCAACAGATGGCACCAGCTTCACAGATGCTTCTCTGATATGGACTATACCAATGATTAACCCTAGACTGGTCCTTCAAGAATCCACTTTCAGATCCCTTAAAGTAACAATGGGAATTAATGGGAAAAAAATAGAGAACCCTGAGAAGTTCAACTACACATTGGAACATAACATTACACACATTGGAGTAACTATCCCAATTGGAGCCCCTAGAGGCAGACTTCAGGTAAATATAAGCTCTACTATCAGGGAAAGTGTGTGATATGTAAGGTAACATATTGGAACACAATGTGAACCTATTACAACAAAACCAATGTCTATATGCAACACTATTTAATAGTTCTAATTTGTCTTTTTCTCAGAGCACAGTATCGAACGGTGTCTATGGAGTGACCTATAGTATTGATCTATTGATGGAACATTCTTGGACAGATAGTGATTGGCAGCTCACCAAGTACCTTGTGATTAAACCAATTACTATACCCTTCCTGCCTCGAATACCAATAGTAATCAATAGTAAGTGTTTGTGGTTACATATAAAATCAGACAGAAGGAGTCTGCTTGTCGGTCTAAAGAGGTGCTGATGTTGTTACTCTAATGAACGTATAGAGTTTGTTGCCCCATAAAGAACAGATTGTGTGTCTCCCTTTAGAAAGCTAGCAAAGCCATTAAAATAATTAAAGGAATTGGTTAAATAAAGGCAAAGGTTTCCCCTTTCCAGTTGAATTCAAATCGAGGAGATGGTGCTCATCTCCGTTTCCTAGCTGAGGCAGCCAATGTTGCTAAGCACATTTCTGTAGTCATGTGGCGAGCATGACTATAACCGAGGGAAGCACTGTAACCTTCCCACCAAAGTTTTATTTATTCTATTTATTTACTCCCATTTGCAAGCTTTTGAACTGTTAGGTGGACAGGAGCTGGAGCAAGGACGGGAGCTGCTCACCCCTTCATGCGGTGCTTGGGTTCTCGAACTCCAACTGTCAACTTTCCAGCTGACAAACTCAGCGTCTTTAACTACTGAGTCATTCTGCCCCGTTAGTTAAATATGCAGGTCTAATTTTGACTTTAATAGTTTATAGAGTGCTTATAGCCTTTGAGTTTCAGTACTAAAGAATGAATAGGCTGAGAGGAATTGGGTGCTTTTTCAATGCATTCCAAAAAGAAGGAACATTAGTAGCAAACACTTTATTCAGCTCTACTTTCAAAGGATAGATTATTACAAAAACAGTATTTCCAGGGAACAACCAAGTTCTTATGCTTATAATTCTGTTATAATTTTTCCAATAACAAATTCCTTCTTGTTTACATAGATACAGTTCCAGAAACACGGATATTTGATGTATTCTTGGGTGTCTTCCTTCCTGATGTCAATCTGGTGACTCTTACAATTGGAGATATGACTTTCTCTCTCAAGGAAGCAGAGCAAAAAGGTTACAGGATCTCGGTTATTTCCTTCCCCAATGGAACAAGAGGTTTTGAACTAGAAGTGCCTTTTGATGATCCCAATGTCCTAAAAGAAGTAAGATACTGTGTCAGAGTGTGTGTATGTGGTGTCTCCTCAGTGGAGGAAGCACTGAACAAACATTGATACTAGCAAGTAAAAAAAAAAAATTCTTAAAAACCCCATTCTGTTTAATATCACATCTATGCATCCTGGTTGCTGTAGCATAAAGATGCCCCATATAGTTTGCTGAGGACATGATCTCACTCTGTAACCTCCATAATTGTTACTAGCCCTTTGCTCAATCCAACGGAAACTGAACTGCCTTGGTTGAAAGTAGTGTTTCCCCAGCTATTTTGGCAGATGCTCTAGTGTGTGTGGAAAAGGAGCCTCTAGGACAGGGGTGGGCAAATGTGGCCCTTTTATAACCTGTGGACTTCAACTCCCAGAATTCCTGAGACAGCTTGGCTTTCTCAGGAATTCTGAGAGTTGAAGTCCACAGATTGTAAAAGGGCCACATTTGCCCACCCCTGCTAGGAGACTGGCACCCTGCAGGGCTCCGGTTGACTTGTTGCAAGATAAACACTTCCCCTCTAACTAGAGGCCATTGCCTCGATGGCCATTTTTGTAGTGGCTTCTAGAGGAGCCAAATAGCTCCTGGTGAAGCCTCTTGTTTTCCCTTTTGGAGGGGGCTTGGGCATGAGAATATCAACCTTATAATCACATCAAAAGCAGATCTGCTAGGTGGTAGACATTCCCATTCCTGAATAAAAATATTTAGGAAGAGAAAATCTGTATTTTATCCCATTAGCCACATAACCCTAGTTAGGAGCATGTGTAAAGATTAGAGGGCAAGCCTGGGTAATTAATAGGTTGTGTCCTAAACATGGTTTCTGTTAAAAGGATGTTGCCAAATATTGTTGGATTTCATTGTTTAAATTTGTTGTTTTAAGTATATGAACATAAATGAAACTCGATATCACCTCCAAGTAATCTACACTCTGACCGTGGGTCCTGAAGAGAAGCTGTATCATCATCCTGCAGACGTTGAATGCATAATGGCAGATGTCCGTAAGTTGACTGATAATATTGACCCATCAGTGGCTTTTTAGATAGTTGGCTTAACTTTTAGCCATAATGGACAGAAGGCTATTTCAAGAATTAAACCATTGGGAGCAATGAAATCTGTATGGAGACTATTTAAATGAGAACATGAAAAAGATTGCCTAAGCTTTGTTTTGTTTTGAAATGACAAGCAAATAGCAATTTAATTGCAACGTTTGGGCAAAATGTTCAAACTATATAATAACGGTCTCTAGTACTACGATCTATCAAACTTGGAACTACAATATTCAGCCTACTTCTAACTTTCTATGTGGATGTCTTCATTTTGCCTCTGGTTCTTTAACAACCACAGTATCTCTTGTCTCAGTGCAATGGAGAGTTTGATCATGAACTAAACTATTAGCTAAAGACCAAATTATTCAAAACTTTTATCAGCTTACCAGTTATAAAATATAGTACAACCATATTTTTAACACTTAATTTTAAAAGAAAATATGTTAAAGGGACATTTGTAAAGGTTATTTTAATGTGACTTAATTTTTTATTTTTTTCTACAGAATTACCAGAAGGCATTGGATACTGTGACAAAGAGAATATATATTTATATGTTACAACTGCAGGCCTATTTCAATACTGGATTCTATATATAGGCAATAGTCCTTTGAATTATATCACTGCACATACAAATAGATATCGTATCACTACAAATGATACTCATCTACTATTGCAAGTGCCTTTCTTTGCTCCTGGGATAATATATGAGGTATATATTACAAGTGAGCCCTGGTAGCACCTAGCTTGCTTTGCTCATCCAAAAACATAAGCAGGGTTAAACATGGTCAGCATTGGGACAGGAAGCTATCAAGAAATTCCAGGAAAGTAGAAATAAAAAAATCCTAGAAGGAAAAATGAAATAACTTCTATGCTGTTATCAAGAAAACTCCATGGACGTGTCCATGAAGTCATGAGTCCAGCTTGAATTCATTCATTCATTCATTCATTCATTCATTCATTCATTCATTCACACATTCATTCATTCTTGTATATTAACCCTGGTCAATTTAATAGATTTGGTTCTCTTAACTTGCCCACTGATTGATTAGATAGATGGATCGATAGATCGATAGATATTGAAAGTCACTCATTTTTTTTCCTCCTGTACTGAGTGACACGAGGTTTTTTTTACGTAAATGTCTGTGCCAAGATGTAGAACTGACTATGATATTTCTAGTGTCATACAATTGCAGAAAAAAATAATTGATTATAAGGGTTTCTGTTAGTTATATTTATGTTAATTTGCATTTAATAAACTTTAGTGGAAAACACCGTGCACATATATAGGGGTTGGTATTTTAAGCATTCTTTCCCATTAATGGAAGTGTCCTCATAACTGGCAGCCAAGTTGAATGAATTCTTTAAAACCACAACACAAATTGATGCCACAAGCTAAGAAGAATACAGAAAATGACCATTCACTTTCCATAGAAATAGCTGTGCCTGAATTCAGGGAAGGGAGAGCTTTAGGCCATTTTAGCAAAAACTAAGAGTAGAAATAGACGTGTTAAGCCACTACAAAGCAACATTTGAGGCACAGTGGCACAGTGGTTAGAATGCAGTACTGCAGGCTACTTCTGCTGACTGCCAGCTGACTGCAATTTGGCAGTTCGAATCTCACCAGGCTCAATGTTGATTTGGCCTTCATCCTTTCATGATCCGTAAAATGAGGATTCAGATTGTTGGGGGCAATATGCTGACACTGTGAACCACTTAGAGAAGGCTATAAAGCACTGTGAAGTGGTATATAAGTCTAAATGCTAGTGCTACTGTGTTTATTTATTTCTGTCTTTAAATCCTCTGGCCTTTCCTCCCCAAAGCCAAATAGTGTCTGTCCATCTAGCCAGTTACATGCTTTTCATTTTTCAAATTTGTATGCTGGCCAACTCCCAATAACATCACTGCATTCCTGGACAAGCACCTTGTTTTTCCCTAAAGTGAAATAAATGAAATGAAATGCAGCCCTCATCCAAGAAAACTCTGCCCACATCTTTCTAAAATACGTTGTCATTTAGTAATTTCAAAACAAAGCAATTTCAATTAAACAATTTCAAAACAAACAATATCCTTAAAATATGCTTGTCTATTTTTTTTTTTTTAAGGAAGTGTCCTTTGAGAGAATCCAAGCTAGATTTGATCTGGACTTGAAGAAAATGGCCACTCTAGAGACCCTGAATACCTTTTCTGTTAGATGTAATTTTCAGTCCTCAGAATTCATAGGTAAGGTCTATTTTTAGCGGAGAATAGTCTCTTTGAGGGAGATGTTTTGTGATCTAATTCACTGCCTCTTATTTTTTTCAGTGTGCTATCCTAATGGAACTGTAACTGTATTGGCTCACATGAAGACAGTTCCATCCATTGACATGGGCAAAACAAGACTGAAGGATAAGATTTGTAAGCCTCGAGAATATACAAAGAACCAAGCTTTATTTCAATTTCAAGTTTCTACTTGTGGCACTTCCTTAATGGTAAGGAACTGAGAAAAAGCTGCCCAGAATAAAAAAACCAGAGGCGATCTTTTCATCAAGTATTTGATAATTTTTTTTCTCTGATACAGTTTAATGATGAACACCTTATTTATGAAAATGAAATATCCTTTGAAAAAGAAACTCTTCCAATACAGAATCGACCAATTATCACAAGAGATCCAGGATACAGGTAAAACTTAACTCAGTCACAGCTGATTTCATTTTAAGTTCAGGAATTTAAAATATATTTTTATTGCAGACTGACTATCTTGTGCTACTATCCAATCAAAGACACCTTGATGCAAAGTGCTATGTTGTATGGTTCCTCATCCAGAACTTTACCTTTTGGTTCGGGTACAATGATGTCTTGGCCTAATAGCGAAGGTAGGTAATTTTTTTAAATGTACAACTTTATGAATATCTGTCTGCAGTCATGACAGCCATTATAATTTGTCCCACAGGCCTTATAAGGACAAGACAAGTTCTAAATATCCAGGCAAATATATTCAAAGGTAAGATTCTTCTAAACATGAAAACCATAAGCCTAAAATTATGTATTGTTTCAAAAATCAATCACTGCCTTCCTTTTTTTCTTCATCCCAGATGAATCATTCACAGAAGCCTATAAATCTCATTCATTAGTTTTCAAGAGTTTGTGGGAACCTCTATTTTTTGAAGTAGAATTAAAAGATGAAGCCCCTAATGTTGAGCTATTTTTGGAAAACTGCTGGATGACACAATCTGAAGAAATCAACAGCATTCCTCACTGGAACTTTATTGTAGATGGGCAAGTAACACTCCAGAATTATTTGTAATTATTTAGATTAAATCTATAGTCTAACAATGGGGATTTTCTCATCCTACCAAATAGATGTGAAAACAAAAGCTATGGATCTGTGATCTTCTCTCCAGTAACCACAAGCAATCCAATAAAATATCCTAATCACTTCAAAAGAATGAAGATACAGAATCTGACTCTTCCTCTGACAGAGGTACTGTTAAATTGGGTGAATGAGGACTCAGCAAGCCAGGCATTGAGTGACAACAGCTCTTTATTGTAGGGTGAGAACCCAGCGACTGACCAGGGGAAACAGCTCCCTTTATATACCTTGCAGCTGTGGTGGTCAGCCAATCAGCTGACGGTCAGTTAATTCAAACTGCCCACCCAAAATCTACATACACAACACTCCTCCCCTCCCAGAAGTGACTTGGGGTGGACATTAGCATACCTAGTGTCCGCACCCTAGTTGACCTGCGCAGTTCAGTCGGAGGTGTGGTGTCGAGCAGGTCGGAGGAACTCCCTGTTTCTCCCTGCTCCACCAATGGAACCTCCGAGAATTTGTTGTGGGCGGCGACTTCTTCAGCTGACCGATCTTCTGCAATGGGGCGGCGCTGGATCTTGGGGCCGACAGCTAAGTTCTCTGCTTGACTCGGGCTTGAGTTAGGTCTGGAGTTCGGTTGGTAGTTAGGGACCGGATCGTC